TGACAATGGTTCCCTAGTTCCCAATCAACCTTGATATATTACAAGCAAATGTGGACGTGTCCCAGGTAATCAATATGTATGCTATGGAATGTAATACTGAATAGTAGCCGTATGCTGATGAGAGAAAAAATGGAAGAGTAGGAAAGTAAGGCGCTGTTCGGCTTGGAGGGGCATTTTGCATTTTCGCTAGTTCCTTTTGTTAGTTAATGCCAAACAGAAGGTCCCGCTTTGATGAGACCTATCGAACCTTGTGAAGTTGCGTTGTGGTAGTAGTGCCACTTTAATACCAGGAATTTGCAGGTCTTCACAGGGTGTTTTGTACAAGCTCAGATGAGCACCATTCGGTGCCCTTTCCAAGCCGAACTGCGCCGAACAATAGGTACTGTACAAGAAAATTGCACAAAAAATGTGCTGAGGTATCTTCCTAAAGCATAAAAACGGTAAGGAAAATAAACGTAAACACGGTAGAATAGCCTGCGACTCCTCCAGAAGCGTCTTGCTTTTCCTCATCGGGTTTCTCGTCATCTGACCTGCAAAATGGTTAGAGAAATCAGTGTTCTTCGAAACGCTCAAGTAGACAACTACAAACTAAATTCTAATAAGTAAATGAACAGACGCCAAGTAAATGAATAAGTAATAAACAATAAACAGGTGAATAATTAATGCACCCACTGAGAAAACGTGACACCAACAGTGTTGTATCTTACAGTGAGCCATTAGCTAACAATGCTTGCAAAGATGAGAATGAAAGCTCAGGGCTCACACACACAGGCCTCGATCTGCCGTTGGGAGAATTTTTCCGCAAAAGGCGACCACCTCAATGTTCCCTCCTCTGGGGCAACCTTCCTAAACTCCCTCCCTTAGCACGAACCCCTCTCACAATTTCTTCCTCTGGTGTGACCCCTCTCGAAACTTCTATGATAAGCCCTCCACCCTCTTCTGCATCCTCCCCCAGTCTATCATCCTTCTAAAGTTCCTCAACTTCCTAAAACCTTCAACGAATTCTTTTTTTTAATTCCTCCAGTTCTACCAAAGAGATGCGGCCGAGCGGGATGGGGGAGCCTTGATTTGCGCTCGAAACGCAAAAAAAAATTGAGGAAATTCAACAATCAAAAACATTTTTCCCAGAGGCAAATACCATCCGCTCTCGCTCCGGCGGCTAAGCCTAAAGTAGACGACCCTCGACGGGATCCAGGTCAATAAGTGACCTATTAGAATTTTTTTTTGCTATGTCTAAGTTGTTTGTATCGAAATTTACCCTCGGGTCGATGCTGTACGATGTTACTAGACCAAATTTTCTCCGTAAGCTCTCAACGATACTGATAAGAATTCGTCAAAATGGGGGGAATAACGAGCTTGAGATAAGGGTACAAAAACGGCCACAATTCTGCTTCAATTTCAGCAATAATCGTGCCTGCAAGGAGGATTGGATAGGGCGTTTTACTAAAAAACACATTCCGCAATGCCATACCGGCAGAGGTACGAGTGGCGACCAAAACTAAGGGGCCATTGGTGATTCATTCCACGGGATCGCTGAAAAAACCAATACAATTCGCTCATAGAGGCGGGTGCAGTAGTAATGAGTCTTCACTATTGAAAAAATGTTCCCTAGTGCATCAACTGAAATATATATAATCCATTCTCTGCAGAAGCTGCTGCATCTCTGAGGGGGTGGGCTTGTTGTCGCTTGCCCCCTTTAGCATTGTTGGGGAAGAGGCTGGCGCCACGCCATGCCTAGCTTACCCCTCCCGGCTAATGCCGTTTGGACTCCAGCAACTTCGGCACCGAGCTCATTTTTAAATTACCTAAGTCGCCAAACCCGCTGAAAATATGTACACAAGGGTTATTTTACCATCCTGATTACAATTATGACACTCATTCTTGGCGCTGGCGCCAAGGGATGACACTACGATTACCTCTTGGGCTCAGCCTTAGCGGAGCGCAGGTAATCGTAGTGTCATCCATTAGCGCCAGCGGCAAGAGTGAATGTCATATTCGTAATCAGGATGTTAAACTACCCCTACATACAAGTTTTTAGCGGATTTGGTAACTTAGGCAATTTAAAAATGAGCTCGAAGTTGCTGGAGTCCAAACGGCATTAGCCGCCTACCTCGGGTCAATCCTGTACGGCTGTGATGTCATAGTCTGCAGCGAGTCTGACTAAATACCTATCATTAGGCAGCGAAACCAGTAAATAATTCTTTTCTTTTCTTCTCGCTTTCTTCTGACACCGTTCCTCAGTAGTTAAATGCGGAATACATGCGGTATTTTCTCCATTTGGTGCTCAAGTAAAGGGTCATCATGAGCAATGGAGCTGAACCCAACATTGATGTCATGGCACGCGATCCTGTCCACTCACCGTATTTTGCTTTGGGTTACTCATCCCTGCGTATATTCTTTTCAAGCAGGGCCGAAACATCATCCAGCTCCCATATGTTACGCCTCGAGCGAATGTGAATCAATGCTGCCTCACCTCCTTGTCAGCCGTGAGGATAGCTTCCGCAAGAAGCATTGTTTTATGCTTGACGCGGCTCTGTTTCGTGCAAGGACCAGTTGTTCAAAGCACGATACTGAGCAGTTTCACCGCCTGCAGGCTTCAGCGAAGCAAGTCCTTCTTCCCTGCTTCATCTCTCTCGGATAAAATGCGAATGGGCAAACTGAAACATCAACCAATCCCTGACGGCACTATCAAGCCCTAACTGTCTCCCTCCGTAGCTCAGGCCAAATTTCAATTGAAATTTTTCCCACGGAGTATTACGCCGAAACTTAAGCGCAGCTCTTGAACTGGACATTTTTTTTTATTTTTTCACTACGGTAACTACTATATATCCCAGTCACGCGACGCCACTAGCAGCCTCACTTCCACCCCGCCGCAATTCGGATCTCCTGACCTTGATATAGAAGCCTGAAATCGCTTCTATTTCAATAGCTGTCGTAATTCAACTGATCGCATAATCAATTCCACCTCAGCTATCTGCTAAACTTATCTAGACCGCTATTCCGCTTACATTTCATTTACATATACAGGGGGGGCCAAAAAAAAAAGTCATTCCGGCCGAGTCACATATGAGCGAAGTTTTCGCAGCCCAGACAGAGGAAGTGGATATGAGTACCAGGGCGGAAGATACCCAAGATCTTCCCTATAAAGCTGGAGGCAGGCTGCTGCCCCATCGCCTTCATGTATGGGGGGGGGGGAGGGGCGCCAAAATATGGAGTCATTCTCCAGTCGCGGGCCTGACTTGGAGAACAACCTTTTTTTTTTTTTTTTTTTTTTTTGGAATTCACGTCGCCTCCAAACAGCTGCGAAACTTCTTGAATGAAGTCATCCACAGATAGCTACCTGGAGGTCAGTACTCTTGATCTGCAAGACCTCCCACATCGAGCAGCTACGGCAACGTCGCTACGGTCTAGGACATCATCTTCACCGTATTCGCCGAGGCGCGAGTTGATGGTATGGACCGGGGTACCTGGAAAGGGGAAGACCGATATTTTCTTTGTAGACCCCGACTGAAGGTGAGCGCTGGCGGTTACATCAAGTAACTCGAGAAGGATATCCTCCCTACATGTGGTCGCCCGTACCTTCTTGGAGACCTTGTGCTGCTACAGGTTTGGGTGCCACCACATGGAATCGAAGGGTTTTGGAAAAACTCCCGCCTACTCGGAATGGAAGAACGTTGAGTACCTGGAAAAGATCTAGTATTTAAGCGGGGGTCCTGAACTAAACCCCCTCAATTACTCGGTTCGGGCGGAGCTCAACAGGGTGGTCTACAGTGGCGGAGAAATCAACGATCTCGCTCAACTGCGGTACCCACTCCCCTTTCGCGGCGCCGAATCTCTCGATGGCGCTCCTCCAGAAGGCTGTGGCGGAGTATCATTATAGTATTTGATGTGCTCTTTAATATGGTAGTAAAAGTGTCCGATAAAAATTTAATAAAGTGTAACTTATAGCGCCTTGAAAGTCATGGAGGCAAAATGACTTTTTTTTTGGCCCCCCCTGCCGTTAATAGCTCTCGTAATTATAGTACATGACAAGCTTGATAAGAGGTCTAATTAAGCTTAATTAGAACTCAACACAATGATCTACTTCTGTAGCGAGGGTGCAAATCCCATTCGCTTCTGTCCAATGTCGTAGATGTTGCAGAATTGGCGGATGAATGGATCGCCAAGAATCCATGACGGACCAAAACCACCAAATTCGAACGGGAAGATGGCGAAGAGGCACTTGTTATTTCCAGCCTGAAGTAGGAAAAAGTTGGCTCCACACTAGCAAGAAAAGGGAAGTAGATTCAAGCATGAAAAGGAAAGTGCTGTGCTACTTGTCAATAGGGAACAAGGGAAGGTCGTCGAAAGCGCTTGGAATAGAACCCCGCTTCTTGAATGTGGTCTAAACCTAGACCAGTAACTAGCTTTACTCCACCTGGCGGTACTTTACCCCCAGGCGGGGCAATTTAATAGAAGGGTGTCGCACTGGGGTCAAACTCTGCGAGCCCTGGCGCTCCCCCATGATCTGTGCTACGAAAGTTTGTAAGCAGTTTTTTGAGTTGGGACCTGGCTTTCTTTCTTGCAGAAAGGAACATTCTGGATGCCAGGCGAGCCAGATGCTAGGAGTGCTGTTTTGCCGAGCGACGAACCGGGTCGCAACCATCGCAAGTCGCGAATAACCCAAGTTCGCTTCTCAAACGAATTGCGGAAAATTCCCTTTGCAAGAAACTCCACCACTCTCCCCCCCCCTTCCTCTTCGCTATCCCTGCCGGATGCCAACGTCTGAGGAATAACCGTGGAAATTAGTTACGATTCCACCAAGAGAATAATAGTGTAAGCTGAAAGGGGAAATAAAACGAAAACTTCCTATTCGTCTCGAATTCCCATACCTGTTATGTTCTTTAATAGAGATTTTCAGGGCGAGAGCAATCTGCCCACGCGCAACGGACTCGCGGATTATTCTTAGATAAATGGCGCCGTTCGCTTGATGGGGCAACAAATGGTACTCAGCAAAACTTTTGCAGCCACATTGTGCAAACATGTTGAACTCTCGGTTATCCAAACTTTGTTACAACAATCTCAGAGAGAGCTTACACCCCTCGCAAGGCGTTCTCCCAAAAAGAACCACAGGTTTCTCCAGAGTGAGGCTTGTTACTTAACATAAACAGGAGAAAAGGAACCAGCGAAAGTGCAAAAAGCCCCTGCCGACTCGAACGGCGGCGAATGCCATTTATCGTGGCTAGTCCCACTGCAATGTACTCACGTATTCATTTGTGAATTACGCTAACTATGTAGTTGCGGGATCGATCGAGTAGACGTTGCTTCCGATAGTGACGTCCAGAGTAGCTGGCTTAGCATCACAGGCGATGTAGTAGGACTCCTCGAGGATGCTGTACTGAAATGACGTCAGTTCGGCTACTCACCACCAGTCATGTGATCAATCTGAATACTCCAAAGGAAGTATTGGATACTAGTGTTAAGAAGGCCAAACATTAAGCGGAATCCCAAAAGAAAAGGTTTCTGCCGACGTGGACAAACGCGATTTATCGCAAATCCATACACTGGACGCTGGAGAGGGTGTGTGCCAATGGAACCCCGCTATGAGCACTAGCGGTAACAGCGTCTGCGCATCGAGGCTGCTGTTTGGGCCACAGAAGGTAGACACATGTTTTGTTCTGTGTACACGCCCTCTAGAGCCGTGATATCAACTGTAGTTAATGACTCTCGGGTTTCCTTCCGAATTCCTTAGCAAAACTCCCTTGCACGTTCGATGCGAAAACCTGATTCACAAGCCTTTTCTCCAATCAATGCTACAGTTCGTAACTAAGAGGGCCGTCAAGAGGCGTGCTGCACACTCTGGCGAGAGCTCGATGAAATAAAAACAGTAGGCGTAATGAATCGGATAAGAGCAAAGTCACCCGAGGATACGAAAATAAATCCTATATAGAGGACTCTTTTTGCCTCCTATATAGAGGATAAGTCTCTGCGAGAAAACACTGCTTATGTTTCAGGTTCCATTATTCCTGGATTTACTTGCTACTCAAATTTTGCTTGTAAGCGCACCTTAGCTCCAGCAGCCGCAGCCAGCTGATCTGTGACGCGACTTAGTGTCCCCGCAATGAAAATTACCGTGTGCAGAGGATCACTTCGTATGTCTTGGTGGTCTTGTAAGATCCCATGCCAATGGCGGCCATCTGAAAATCGTGACACATCTTCAGCAACTACCAAAATTCCTAACTGAGTAGTAATTAGTACCTTAAACTGGAAGTAAGTCGCAGAAGAAAGTGGCTGGTAGGCGGTAATTGGCCCACAGTTTTTCGTGTCAATAGCTCCATAAGTGAAAATACCTCCAGGGGCTCCTTCGAGACTTCCGCGATGCTCCATCCATACGGTGAACAGCGGCTGGTCCAGGAGTCCTTAAGGATTTCATAGGTCTTTTGTATTTGGGTTCAGATTTGAGAGGTTTTAGTTTGGGAGATGGAAATTCCGCAGCAGCAGAGGATACCTTCACCAGTGTGGCTTTTGAGGCAAGCCATTTTCCGCTTCCATCAAGCTCCCCAATTACTCTGAGCCCAAGGTTAAACTTACCGACTCGCGCACTCCTTTTTAATTGGTGTTCCAGCGGGGTCGTAGCCACCCTGGAAACAGAATCTTCTGGATTCAGCGCCCTTTGAAGAACCCGAAATGTGTCCCCGATTTCTAGGGACGTAGGGGGGGGGCCGCAGTAAAAGGCGACTAGTGTCACGCCTACTTTTTTGTGAATTTTGACTTCAACGGTAAACCCAAAAAGAGCCCGAGGCAAAACTCACTCCTATTGATTGCATTGCACACCCCACCACCGTCGACAGGGCAAGTGACGTGAAGGCGAGACCGAGGATGCCGTCAGTTGGGTCCTGCAACGAGAACCGTACTCAGCGTTCCACGGTAGCTAAAGAATGCGGTTTCAGAGAGCAGTTCATTACTTACGTCCTTGAAGTCAGATGAGATGTGGGTGGCCAATCCGAAAGTGGTTTTTGGAACGACTAGCTGCTGTTCTTTGGATCCGCCGAACTGGAATTGTTGGGCTGAGGGAGGGAATAATAGCATGCATGAATATTAATTTAAATTTTTCATCAATGGTCAATTTAAAATTAGTACATCAACAAATGGGAGGACTGTAAAAGGCCTTAATAGGTCTAAGCCTCCCTTAATGGCGAAGTCCAGCGCTTATGTAGGGATCAATGTGCTGTCATCACTGACTCTGCTCTCGCAAATGCATTAGAAATGAGAGGAGGGGCTCCAATGATGAAGCCAGTCAGGTCTGTCTCCGCCCATACGATTAGCGTGGACCCTGCCTGTAATGTCCTAGATCGGTCCTACCTTGACAGTATCGGTACCAAGCACTCCCCCTTACATCACCATATTGCCATATGTGGGGGAAAATTCTTGTCCACTGCGTTGTGCTTGACCACAAAGGGTACTTGAGGAACCCGCGACGCCACAACATTTGCCTTCTTATTGGAGAACTGCTTGAAATCAATGTTCTCAGCAACAGTTTAAACCCTCAGAGGTCTCATTCAGTCCCTCATGACGACAAATGACGTCATTAGGGATTACTAAGTGCAAATAGTGCTGGGCGCTTAGTCATCACTGATATGAACAAAATTTCACAGTGGTGATTCACAAGTAATTTGAGAACGCTGGACTGTAAGAACCGAGAGGAAGGCAGCCGAAAGTGGAAAGATAGAACCTGGAGCAAAGAGAGTGACTAACGCTAAGGAGAAGGTGGAGAAGAGAAGCCGATGTACGAAATATGGAATTGTTTACAGTCTCGTTCGCTGCAGATGGTGTCAGCAGGGAGGAGAACGCGGTTTGGCGCGACTCTGGCCCATTTACCAGCAATTGGTCGCTGCCAGTTTCCCCAGTTGTGGAGACAAGCGGCGCCGCCCTCAGCTGCTGACAGCGTCTGCAACTGAAAACGACTGTAAGATTTCACGTGAATCACCGAAAATTGCAGCATAAAGGATTAAGCGTGCATGTTTTACCACAATGTGTCCGAAGGGATCGCTGTCCCCCTTCTACATTCTAACGCGAAAAGAATAAGAGGCGGCACCCAAATAAAGAAGCGCAGCGGATGTGAGTCCCCGGCCCAACAACTTACGGAATACGAAATCTAAAATTCTGAAGGGACCTCACCGCAAGCGTCTCTGGTAACCGAATTGTGCCTGATCCGTGTCAAGCACGTACGAGCAATACTGCTGGTTGGGTGTGCCGATGGTGATGTTACCAACGTACTCGTAGTCTCCATAATCGGATACCTGAAACAGCGGCTCTGATGCTGACGTGATTTATATGCTTCTACCCTGGGTAACACTCTGTGCGCTGAAAGGAACTGTCTTGTGAGAACTTCAAGGTTCATGTAATTGAAAATTCCGGTCCTTAAAACCGCTTGTGGAAGACTCGCGAGATTCGCGGCCCGTAGAGAATTACGGTATCCGACGAAAGCGGCATACTCCCCTCGTTCGATCATTTGAACCTAAACACCGAAAATCAATATCGATCGATAACGCAGTGAGCGAACGAAAAGTTCCACTGGCAACTCCTAGCTGTACCTTTCTTGACTTCCGCCAAATAAGAGGGTGCTGATGAACGGCAGCAGCAGCAAGCCCAACCAGGGCTAGAGAACGGGCAAAGCGCATTCTGCAAGGTTCACTCTTTCAATGTGGGGGGTAGAGAATGGCAAACAAGTGAAGCAGTTCAGATAAAGAGCGCTACAAACGGAAAACGATGTGAGTCCTAGGAGGCAAGCACGCGAGGACGGAGGGTCGTCCTGAAGTGCAACTTTCATCAGTAGTTTATCAACATAGTTTTTCCCTGGAACTGCATAGGCTTGAAGCGATCACTGATTGAAGGTAGGGTTGGCCTGTTTTGAAACGATAAAGGATAAGCTGAAGGTGAACAAATGGGTGATTCCCATCTTCAAACAAGCCTTTTCCTCTAACCCGTTGCAATACTCTCCAAAATATCCGGCATTTCCATGAAAGTACTGGCGATTGAGTTGAAAAAATACATTATATTATTTGCCCCTGAAATTCTCAAAATAGGTGCTACGTTTCTCCAACAAAAGCTATTTGACATCACTACAGCAAGACATTCAGCAGCAGAAGGCTTGATTTGCTTGGATGGAATCGATCTTTCAAGCGTCCAAGAGCAAAACTGCACAGCCATTAATGTCTTTTCATTGTTTCATTCTCAACCTGAATTGTTACTCCCAGACGAAGAAGTTTTCGATCAATATAACTACGGGAAAGTGAATCCGTTCGTGAAAAACACAACAGGGAGCGCGGGTCAAATTGTTTCAGTATTAAATCGTCATATTGCTCGCCTCTCCAAGTTTTTCAGGTGAATCGTTATTCAACGGGCCAAATGTTTTCATTTGAGGTCTTGAGTTTTACTCCTTAGCAGCGATGGCGCCCCCCAAAATTCGTTCCGACGGCAAGAATTCGGGGAAAATCGTGGAGAATCAAGAATTTGGGGTAAGTAAGGTGGCAAAAAGGGGTCCACACCAATATCTTAAATTACGGGGAGAAAGTGCTCTAAAAAGTAACTTTCCAAAATCAAAATTGGAAATTAAGTTTTAAGTTTTTCCCAAGATGTGGTGATATGTCCTAGCATGACCTAACCTCTTCACCTCCGAGTATTGCAAAGAGTAGACCCTCCAAGGACGAGTAATATGTTTCATCCTTTTGGTGACGCATACTTAGCGAGAAGAGAGCGCCCGCAAAGTGGCACCACTACGCAGTGAGCCGTGACACCACCTTAAGTATGTTTTCAGAGCAACAGGAGTAAGAATTTTCCCAACAATGCTGGCTCAAGCCGCATTTTTCATGCGTTATGAGACAGCAGAGAAACCGCGAAGCTGGCAGGGTGACAACTTGCGAAATAGCGCACGGGTGTGGCGCGGAGAGCGATTATTTGTAACTCAGGTTGAGATGCTGACGCCATTTTTTGGCTTTGATAACATTTTTTTATGGCTTCTAAGACGTCGTAAAGTTACTACCGGCCCTCAATAAAAGCAGATCACTAGGGGTCCATGTGCCAGTTCAAAATTCTTTCGCTATGATATTGTTCCGGTGGAATCACGTTTGGCATTTTGAAGAAGAACTGCAGGTAATTTTCCACCCCTAGTGATGACATATTGCGCGTCCCCAAAGCTGAAGGAGAGCCTGGAGAGTCCCTCAGAGTTAATAAACTCCCCCCAACTCGACCGTTCCGACATAAGGAACCACGATAAACCACCAAGGCAGTCTAATAAGTTAGGCAGCTGCGAATATGTGAATCTGCCTAGTCAGCATTATGCAAAACACAGAGAAGACAATGTTAAACCAGGCATGAAGTGTCCTGAATGTGCAAATTACTATCTACGATGTTGCCCAGCTCTGAAAACGGAGCAAGCTAAGGGAATGCTGCCATCCTACTATATATAAACGGCGACGTCTGTCTGTCTGTCTGTCTGTCTGTCTGTCTGTTTGTCTGTCTGTCCGGAAATTCGGAACTACCTGAAGAGCCAGTCTCAGGGGGCGGGTCAAGGTTGGGATGGGTAGGGCATGGGCCAAGATGTACGAAACACACGTGAACTAGGCTAAGCCCCGCCCACTGTGGGCGGTGCGTGCGCATAGTTGTGAGCTTCATATTTCAAAAATTCGTAGTTCGGTTCCAAAAAAGCCCCGAGAGCGAAGAAAAGTGGCAAACGATAGGCAATTAGTCCGTGGACGAAATGACTGAAACAAACCAAATTTTGGGCGGGGCGTTCTACAGATGGGCGGTGCTTGCTTCGAGATTTTCAAAAATTCCCAGTTCGGTTCCAAAAGAGCCCCGAGAGCGGAAAAAGTGGCAGACGATAGGCAATCAGTTCGCGGACGAAATGACTGAAACAAACCCATTCTGTGCAGGGCGTTCTGTATTTAAGCGGTGCCTGCTACGAAACTTTCAAAAATTCGTAGTTGCGTTCCAAAAAAGCTGGGAGAGTGGGAGAAGTGGCAAACGATAGGCAATCAGTTGGCGGACGGAATTAATGAAGCACCACCGCGGTGATGGCGGAGCGTTCGCGCCGAAGTGGGCGATCCCGAGGACGAAAACCCTCAAAACGCATCCGAAAAAAAACCCCGAAATGGGGAGTGAGCTGAAACTAAACAGTGGTATGGCAGATGAACGTAGTGAGGGGATAATCGTAGGGAGTATCCCAAATGGTTGGTACCGTCGGCAATACTTCATAATTCGGTTCCCAAACATACAAGTGTAGCTAATCGCAGTGAACGGGATATGTGCCACAGTGAATGGGAGTGAAAATCAAGGGTTCGTAAATCAGTATTTTATTTATTTGTTTAATTACCTACTATTTACTGCACAACAATTTAGGCAAATGCATATTCCTACTTTTGTCCATCCTCAAATCATTCAATACCGACAGAAAACATTTACTATACAGTAGTTTCACAGTTGTTTACCATTGGGAGGGTACTTGCTGATCTCTATCCTACTATATATAAACGGCGACGTCTGTCTGTCTGTCTGTCTGTCTGTCTGTCTGTTTGTCTGTCTGTCCGGAAATTCGGAACTACCTGAAGAGCCAGTCTCAGGGGGCGGGTCAAGGTTGGGATGGGTAGGGCATGGGCCAAGATGTACGAAACACACGTGAACTAGGCTAAGCCCCGCCCACTGTGGGCGGTGCGTGCGCATAGTTGTGAGCTTCATATTTCAAAAATTCGTAGTTCGGTTCCAAAAAAGCCCCGAGAGCGAAGAAAAGTGGCAAACGATAGGCAATTAGTCCGTGGACGAAATGACTGAAACAAACCAATTTTGGGCGGGGCGTTCTACAGATGGGCGGTGCTTGCTTCGAGATTTTCAAAAATTCCCAGTTCGGTTCCAAAAGAGCCCCGAGAGCGGAAAAAGTGGCAGACGATAGGCAATCAGTTCGCGGACGAAATGACTGAAACAAACCCATTCTGTGCAGGGCGTTCTGTATTTAAGCGGTGCCTGCTACGAAACTTTCAAAAATTCGTAGTTGCGTTCCAAAAAAGCTGGGAGAGTGGGAGAAGTGGCAAACGATAGGCAATCAGTTGGCGGACGGAATTAATGAAGCACACCCGTGATGGGCGGAGCGTTCGCCGAAGTGGGCGATCCCGAGGACGAAAACCCTCGAAACGCATCCGAAAAAAAACCCCGAAATGGGGAGTGAGCTGAAACTAAACAGTGGTATGGCAGATGAACGTAGTGAGGGGATAATCGTAGGGAGTATCCCAAATGGTTGGTACCGTCGGCAATACTTCATAATTCGGTTCCCAAACATACAAGTGTAGCTAATCGCAGTGAACGGGATATGTGCCACAGTGAATGGGAGTGAAAATCAAGGTTCGTAAATCAGTATTTTATTTATTTGTTTAATTACCTACTATTTACTGCACAACAATTTGGGCAAATGCATATTCCTACTTTTGTCCATCCTCAAATCATTCAATACCGACAGAAAACATTTACTATACAGTAGTTTCACAGTTGTTTACCATTGGGAGGGTACTTGCTGATCTCTATCCTACTATATATAAACGCGACGTCTGTCTGTCTGTCTGTCTGTCTGTTTGTCTGTCTGTCCGGAAATTCGGAACTACCTGAAGAGCCAGTCTCAGGGGGCGGGTCAAGGTTGGGATGGGTAGGGCATGGGCCAAGATGTACGAAACACACGTGAACTAGGCTAAGCCCCGCCCACTGTGGGCGGCGCGTGCGCATAGTTGTGAGCTTCATATTTCAAAAATTCGTAGTTCGGTTCCAAAAAAGCCCCGAGAGCGGAGAAAAGTGGCAAACGATAGGCAATTAGTTCGTGGACGAAATGACTGAAACAAACCCATTTTGGGCGGGGCGTTCTACAGATGGGCGGTGCTTGCTTCGAGATTTTCAAAAATTCCCAGTTCGGTTCCAAAAGAGCCCCGAGAGCGGAAAAAGTGGCAGACGATAGGCAATCAGTTCGCGGACGAAATGACTGAAACAAACCCATTCTGTGCAGGGCGTTCTGTATTTAAGCGGTGCCTGCTACGAAACTTTCAAAAATTCGTAGTTGCGTTCCAAAAAAGCTGGGAGAGTGGGAGAAGTGGCAAACGATAGGCAATCAGTTGGCGGACGGAATTAATGAAGCCACACCCGTGATGCGGAGCGTTCGCTCGAAGTGGCGATTCCGAGGACGAAACCCTCCCAAAGCATGCCGAAAATAAAAAAACCCCGAAATGGGGAGTGAGCTGAAACTAAACAGTGGTATGGCAGATGAACGTAGTGAGGGGATAATCGTAGGGAGTATCCCAAATGGTTGGTACCGTCGGCAATACTTCATAATTCGGTTCCCAAACATACAAGTGTAGCTAATCGCAGTGAACGGGATATGTGCCACAGTGAATGGGAGTGAAAATCAAGCGTTCGTAAATCAGTATTTTATTTATTTGTTTAATTACCTACTATTTACTGCACAACAATTTAGGCAAATGCATATTCCTACTTTTGTCCATCCTCAAATCATTCAATACCGACAGAAAACATTGACTATACAGTAGTTTCACAGTTGTTTACCATTGGGAGGGTACTTGCTGATCTCTATCCTACTATATATAAACGGCGACGTCTGTCTGTCTGTCTGTCTGTCTGTCTGTCTGTT